ACTGGCACACAGTGTATACTGATGTTTACAACTGCTGTATATACTGGCACACAGTGTATACTGATGTATAGAACTGCTGTATATACTGGCACACAATGTATATACTAATAAAATATACATTTGTGCACATTTTTGTTCTTCATCACACATTTAGAGCAGGAAGAGTATGAGTGAGTGAGCAATGGTAATCAGCAAGCCAAAAATCTTGCTATTACATTTTTTTGCACAAAATTATCTAGAACTACAAAGTATTAATATTTTCTTGTAACAAACCTCTGCAGTTACAAAACACACCCAAACCAATGTATGTATGTATGTCCAATTTACCTTTCTAGTCACAACCCCCACACTGGTCTGGAATATATCTCCTTTTCATTATGCAAAAATAATTTTCCCCTCATTTTTAGAACCCTGACATTCCTGATAAATTTACCACCTATCAATTGTTAACCTCCTTATTGTTTTTTTCTTCAATTATGGAGTATCCACCATATTATTATAAATGAATGAATGAAAATTGCACAAACAGGCTACAAGATTCTAAATGTATTGAAAGTTTGTCACTCAGGAGCCATGAGATTTCAGTTTTGCACATGAAAATTTAAATCCAGTGCCACACAGGTGACAGCATTCATATGCAGGAGAATCACCTGCATCACCATATAAGGAGAATCACCTGCAGTGAATTCTGCAGGTGATTTGAATGTGTTGATTCTGAATGTGTTGAAAGTTTGTCACTCTAGAGCCATGAAATTTTAGTATTAAGTATACAAATTTAGATCCAGGGCCATACATGTGACAGCATTCATATGAAGCTCTAAAGGATAATCAATCCATTTAAAACAATGACTTTGCTCTGAATGAGCAGTTTTCTTTTTTGTGCACAATTCCAAGAAGTCCGACATGAAATTTTTTGAACCGAAGACAAATATGAGTTTATACCTGCAGCAGGAGACAGCAGCTGGAGAGTCAGGTTCTCATCCGTCAGGTCCAGGAGGGCATCAGAGGAGCCGCTGTGACTGACGGCCCCACCTGCCAGACTGGTGCTGGTTGGACGGCGGTTGATTGCTCTTTGGGAGCTGGTTGAGGTCTCGGGTTGTGCTGGTACTCTGGTTGTGGTTGAGGTCTCGGGTGGTGCTGGTAGCCGAGTTGTAGTTAAGGTCATAGGTTGTGCTGGTGCTCTGGTTATGGTTGAGGTCTCGGGTGGTGCTGGTAGCCGAGTTGTGGTTACAGGTTGCGCTGATGCTTGGGTTGTGGTTGAGGACACGGGTTGTGCTGGTAGCCGAGTTGTGGTTAAAGTCTCGGGTTGTGGAGGTTGTTGGTTGTAGCGCATCACAAGGTCCGCTAGAGGTGAGAGGTTGGAAGATGGAGAGATTACATTGCTGCTCAATGGAGGGAAATGCGAGCTGCTCCGGGAATGTGAAGCCATGGTGGACAATCTCAAGTTTCTTAACTAATTTTTAAAGCCATCAGTTTTTTTCCAAATCTTCATGTCTGCATAAAATGTATTTCTATTAAATTGCAGACCATTTTGAAGATATGTATGTTTTATAATAATTCCTGATGACCATAGCATAATAAATGCCAGTCAAAGCTGACTCTCAAGAGAACTTTAACAGGATCTGAGGAAGAAATCATACACTCATATTCATGTGATTCATGATGCATGTGATGAATCAATCTTTTCTTGCAATAAAAATTGTATTAATTTATAAAAGTGCTGGATTTATAATACAATAACCATTTTAGCCTCTCTTCTTACTGAATTTGGAATATCAGGCAGATGTTTCCTAAATCTTGGGTGAAAAAGATCAGATCATTTCAGTTTCACAGGTTATTTTCAATAATCACAGGCAAAAATAGAATGTTTTTATTTTTCATTGAAGAAATTGTGAAAGGGCAACAAGAATGGGTGAAATTTGACAGAGTTAATGATATTTTTATTCAATTCACAGGTGGCTCCTGCCCAATTTTCTAGTTTGGCCTTTCACTACAAGATTTAAATTTATTGTTTTTGATAACAAGAATAAAAACTTTTCAAGGTTTTAATTTTTACGATTGGGGTAGAAGCAGCCAGGCAACAGTTGAATTGAGTTATTGAGATGAAAATGTCCATGGTTGAGGTAAATTTTACCTATGCCTGAGACCCTTTCCTTTGCTTAATTTCCAGGGTGCAGAGGGTGCAAGCAGCATCGCCAAGATATGGATTTTAGGCCTAAATGTTGCCAGCCATTTTCAAGATCCATTGCCAGGTAATTTTTAATAAGAAAATGCTACAAGCAACTTTGATAATATATCCCTTACTCTCCACGCACTGCAACACTTACACTCATCGCAATTGATTTCCGTACAAGGTTCCCTGCATCTTCATCCATCCGCCATACCAGAAACTTTACTGTGTGCGCGGTCTTTCAGATTTGCAGTAATTTTGAAGAAATTTCTAAAATACAATAATTTCAATCCAAATGTGTTGGCAAGATCTTCAGAAGTCATAAATTTTGCTGCTGATGCATCGCCAAATATCTTACAATATTCACCCACTTTCTGCACCCTGCACCTTCTCTATTTAATTAGGAAAAACAGCACATTTTGGCCTGCAATTTTTTAAATCACCTGTGAAATGATTGTTGTTACCAACAAATTTATGAAAAAAACCACCCAGCACAATTGGAAAAAAGGGATGTCATAAAAACTAGGTAGTATATACAGGGTGTTTCAGAATTAAGTAACCCTTTTAATTTGTTAATAAACAAAAAACTAAGAACGTTATGAAGTTGAAACTTGTTTTATTTAAAAGAAGAACATTTTTATGGTAATATTGTATCCTAGTTTTTAAATATAATATCTTTTAAATGCCCACCGCAATTGTTTTGACAAAATAGGGCTCTTCTCTTCGTTGCTTTCATAACCTTCATTAGTGTTTCTGACGAGAGTGCAAATTTTTGATATCCGCAAATTTTCGATAAAGATATTTAAATGTGTTTTTTGAAGGATCCTTGTTTTGAAATGGATGCTGTAATCTCGTTGAACTTCTGTTATTGACATCGTTATTGACTGTAGCGATAATTTTTGTTCTTTCTTCTTTGCTGTAGCGAATCATGATGAAAATTTAAGGCTTGATAATTAAACACAAATTTAGCAAGCTATACAGGATAATGACGTAACTATGATACAATATTACCATGAAAATGTTCTTCTTTTAAATAAAACAAGTTTCAACTTCATAACGTTCTTATTTTTTTATTTATTAACAAATTAAAAGGGTTACTTAATTCTGAAACACCCTGTACATCTGTTGACAAACTACGCAGGATGTTTAGGCTGCTAAAAATTGCCACTAATTCTGCAGGAAACTCAAAATAATAATTTAATTCTAATTGAACTTTGTCACATAATCCAGGAAATAAAATAGACAGAAATTTCTGAGCAAGAAGCAATGAGTGACTAACGTTAGCTGAATGCCAGACGCACAATTGCAGCAGCTACTGGATCAGACACAACATTCATGCTTGCCGTAAAGCTTGAGAAACAAATCTTACATGATGGCCATAGTGGCAAACCAGTGATTTTTTAGAATCATTTCATTTTTAATTTCCTCATTTACTCAAAATTTAAAACAACTTCTTAAGTATGATAATGCTGGTATCCAGGATACTTTACTGGTCTACTTATAGGACTCAAAAATGGACTTGAGGGAGAGTCTAAAAAGCTCTCTGCTTTGCCACTACGCATGATGCTCACCATGGTAAAAATACTAATTGGCAACTACAAACTCAAACTTAAATCTACCAAGTGATGAGCATGTGTTTGCCTTTATTTATTGTGGAAGGATGAAATTTCCATTTGGGCCACCCAGGATTTCAAATTGTTCAATAGTTAAATTAAAGATGGCAGAAATCTTCAAACATTTTCATGAAAGAGACATAATCAATAAAAATATGTTTAAAAATTGCTTAAAGTTAAGGCTAGAATTTTGTCTAAAGAAAATAAAATGTTCAACTTAATGTAGGCTAAAAAATTAATGTTGGTCAATCAAGACTAGAGTGTGAATGTGATTGATAAATTGATCTGATATTCTTATCATCTGACATAGGTACCGTAAAATGGGGTAACTTTGACCACTTTTTTTCAAAATGATGCCATTTTTTTACTAGATAAGTTAAACTTAAATTGAAACATGCAAAATACAGGTCTATACTATAGCTTTACTCACCATAAATTGCTGGCTCCTGCCTATCATAGTTTTGATGTAATTTCAAAAAAAAGTGATGGTCTTTGTTACCCCAGCTCTTAGGGTTTCTTTGACCGGGTGGTAAAATCAATTTCATTTTTTGGTAAAATAACTCCAAATTACTCCAGGTTGTGGTGCATTGTAGTAGAACTCTTCTAGTTACATATGCAAAAGACAAATTTTAGGAAAGTGTCATAATTTGCAAATGGGGGGCCCTGCCCCCAATGGGCAAAATGTGACCACCTAATGGCAGCCGTGATGGGGTAACATTGACCGGTTTGGAAATTAAGTTAAAATTACCATATATAAGACTCTGTAGAGTCTGAAACACGGTTTGGAAATTAAGTTAAAATTACCATATATAAGACTCTGTAGAGTCTGAAACATAAAGAAAAAAACATGAATAGGTGTATCAAACATAAAATATGTTATATAGGTACCTATGGTAATTTTAACTTAATTTCCAAGCCAGTCAATGTTACCCCATCACGGCTGCCATTAGGTGGTCAAAGTTACCCCATTGGGGGGCGGCGCCCCCCATTTGCAAACTATGACACTTTTCTAAAATTTGTCTTTTGCATATGTAACTAGAAGAGTTCTACTACAATGCATCAAAACCTGGAGTTATTTTACCAAAAAAGAAAAAAATTGGAGAGGGTACTCCTACAGGCTTTAAATAGTACCTAGCTCTTTTTCGTGGGTCACATTATTAATTTTTTAACCTATTAGATATGCAAACTTTTTAAATCTTTCTATTGTGTTGCGTAGCCTCAGTATTAGGCCTTTGATGGCCATTGACAAAATTTTTCTATGTCAAATCGTTTTTGAGTTTTGGGGGTTTTGTTAAAAAAACGAAAAGTGGTCAAAGTTACCCTGCCAGTCAAAGTAACCCCATTTTACAGTAAACAAAATGGTGAATTGTAATTTGTCAAATTCATTTCAATAATTAGAATTCTAAAATAATTTAGAATGTCTAACCCCAATCATCAAACTTCTGCTCAAACTAATTTAAAATAATTTTCAAATACCTAAACAATAAACCAAAGCTGACTGAACAAATAAAATTAAACTCCTACATTTTTTAATGGCTGAAATAAATATGAATGTAAAAATTACATCTAATCCAAGAGAAAATTATGCAATGCATTATGCAGTCAATACTGAGATCATGAGATAGGTCAGTAGGCTATGCTCCAATTCCCAAATGTTTATGAGAGATTTGTTTCTTTTGGTTGGCCAGTGCTGGTAAAAGTTCAGAGTACCAAGATTGGCGCAGGCCGCAGAGAGATGCGGGTTCAATCCCAGCGGCCAGCTCTGTGCGTCAGTTTCTGGTCAGAATCGGCGAGAAGGCCGGGCAGTTAAGCATAGCATAGCAGAATTTTAGCCATAGTGGCAAAGCAGATAATTTTTTAGACTCTGTCTCAAGTTCATTTTTGAGTCCTATAAGCTAGTATGGAATGTATCTACTTGGTGAGCCGCGACTGAATTTTTCGAGCCGTGGTTTTATGGATTTGCCAGCCGTGATTCCATTTCTACGAGCCGTGATTCTATTTCACCGAGCCGTGAATTCCATATCTCGGCCATGAAAAGCCATTTACGAGGAGCGAATGCAAATTTGTTTACAAAGTTTATGCACGTGTTACCCCAAATCTCTAATTTTACCCTTAAACAGTCAAATGACAACAATAAAATTTGTCTCTACTGTAAGTTCAGCACGTGTTAATATACAGTCTGACCGCTTTGACATGACCGCAACTATGCGCGATCTTCAACAAACGTTTTGTTTATTTGTTTACATTACGATGTTTATGTTTTTTCTGCAAGATATTTTTGGCAGAAACGGTAAAGCAATGCGGATTGCGGAAGTTGAAAATTTTATGAAATGACATGTTTGCGAAGTGCAAACCGCGATTTTTTAATCAAACAAAAATTTTTGACATTCGAGCCGCGAGATTTCATACCTACTGAAATTATATGATATTAGAGTCGCGATATTTCAGACAAAAATAGGACTTTTCCAGACTAGCCTATAAGTAAACCAGTAGAGTATCATGGATACCAGCATTAGCTTACTTAAGAAATTGGTTAAAATCTTGACTAAATGAGGAAATTAAAAATGAACTGATTCTAAAAAAATCTCTGGTTTGTCAAATTGTCACTATGATTGTAGCAGTGAGTTGCAACTTTGCAAGTTCGAGACCGCAAAATGCTGTGAATGTTCTGCACTGTTAAGAATCGGCGACAGGCCTACGGCCTACTAAATGCTGAAACCGCTATTTAACCACTATTTTGCTCTACTTACTGTTGCTGAACAACGTAAACATGGTAAACCATCAAATATCCGATATCGCACGCATATATCATTACCAATAACAGCATTATATTACAACATATATCCAATACAATGTTAAAGAATATTTGGGCGTGGTTGAAAAAAAATTAAAATGAACTGGATGGCTAAAAAATCTCTTGTAACTTGTTTATCAGTCTAGTCAGTGTAGCCTACTCACTAGGTACTCAGTTACCATTGCTGATATGAGAGGATAAAGGATAAAATTTTAGTTTAAATTTTAAAAATGCTTATTAATTTTTTTGCAGTCAGCGGGGAATTGATTTTTAAAGAGCATAGCATATGAGATTAGAAACAAAGCTGCCACACAACAGAACACGACTAGTGTCACCACAAAAGCGCCGGAAGTATACACGTCTTATCAATATCGACCTTGACACTTATTGTGGACGCAATACATGCAAGCTATAGACGACACAACAATAATATCATCATCTTGAACCCAACCTTAACATTTCATTTATACTGACGTAATCAATATTTTAAGGGCACATACTTGGGATATTGGCAAATATTTGCCTTAACTCAAGAACTTTATTAGCAAACATGAAACAAAGAATAATCCGTTATTACATCACTGTTCCATGAGCGGTCAAGAACTCAACTTACCCTAATCGTATTAACAAAAGCCTCAACCTTATGAAAGATTGAGGCTTCAGAGACAACATTGTAATGTAAAAGAAGAATATATCTAATTTGCCCAGGATCTCCGTTTTTTGTTTGTCTGAAGTTGAAGGAGCTCTGGAGACTCGTCCAAGGTAGCCCCGTGACAGTATAGTGCTCCGGATACGCGTAACTGTGCGCAAAAAGCCTGAGTTAAGAAGTGTAAAGAGCAGACACGTTAAGAGACTGCTGCTATTGGACGATACAATCAATGACAAATAATATATGAAATTTGTTTGAACGATATATGCGGGATCTCGGGATAAACTTCGAAGAGATTTTATTTGCAAGGATCGGCGAGTTGTTAGTCTCGGCTTCCCCGAGGACAGAAATATAGGAAACCTAAAAATGTGCACGCGTAGGCTTCTCTGCCTGCCCTCATAAATACCTTCATATACGAGCACAGCTTAATAAAGAAAAATATGTTCAGTTGAATTATGGAATTAGTGTTGGTTCGTCTCCCGAGTTCAGCCTCCCTTTAGAATCCAGCTCCTCATCCTCTCCTATGGGGACCCTGACACGAGTCCTGTTGCACTCTGGGTCACCATGGACAGGGAGCCTCGAATTTGCGTTCTTTTTACAGCACTTCTCTTTAACTTCACTTCTTGTTTGTCTGTCTGCTACAAATCTTATAATCGAAATTAACCACACTTCTACTTATCCTTTCGATCTGAAATTTTGCACACTTGGGTAAAGTTGGAGACAATGCATGAATCAAATGACATAATAAATAATTTTTAAAAATAATTTTTTTTTTCAATAAAAAAAAACTGAAAAAATAATTTTGTCTGCTACAAATCTTATACGTAACTGATGTTTGACACACTTTTACCTGTCCAATTGATCTGAAATTTTGCACACTTGTGTGAATTCGGAAGCAATGCTGGAATCAATTGACAGAATAAATAATTTCGAGAAAAAAAATTTGTATATGCCTATAAAAAAATTGAAAAATTAATTTTTTTAATATTCGAAAATAAAATGAGAAATTTATTGTACATCTTTAACATTGGAGACACTGGATTCTTTAGAAGTGTTGTCTTTAAAAAGACGTGCAACAAGGATAATTCCAGGCTTGAAGGGCAAGTCCTATGAAGAAAGATTGAAGATTATGAAGCTTCCAAGCCTCAGTTATCGACGTCTGCGTGGGGACCTCATTGAAGTATACAAGTATACTCATGGTCTATACAAGGTCCCTGAAGGATTACTAGAATTTGAAACAAGAACCAACACCAGGGGCCACGGCTATAAACTAAAAAAACTGCGCTGCAACTTCTCCACGCGACAAAATTTCTTCTCGCTTCGAATCACCGACATGTGGAACAGCCTCCCCGATGACATCGTTGGCGCTCCAAGTATGAACGCGTTCAAGAACAGACTAGATAAAGCCATGGAAAAATATATGCTCAGATTTGAAATGCCTAGCTCCTTATCGAACCCGGTGGAAGTCTAGTAGCTACTTCAAACTATCGTCAGTCATGAAAAGATCCAGTCAAATGACACGATTTTAGATCTATGAACAAGGCACGAAAAGGAAAAGAATCGGCGACAGGCCACATCAGGCCTACACTTCAGAGCCGACATCACTATGTTATGTTAAAAATTACTTTTTAAACGTATATTGTTGTCCCTTTCTTTCTGTTGGGGCTTCAAAAAAGGCCCTGTTAATTTTTTCCGTTAGGACGACGAATTAAGTTCCTGTTAGTTTTTCCTACTCTGTTAATGGCCACGGATTAGAATCATGTTCCTACTCAGTTTCTAGCGGCGGCGTAGGAGCAGCCCGTCTGGACGTGACGCAAGTGGTGAATAACAAAGTCCTCAGAAAGTGGACAGAAGAAAGAAGACGTGGGACTAGTCCTCTATTTATGGGCCTGTGCATCAATGACAGTAATTTCGTTGGATTCCTTATCCCTGTCTAAATACGAAATAATGTTATATGCATTGGGCAAACCTGAAATTGTACCCATAGGACTGTTCTTGCCTCCACGAACGTCTTGTTGAGTCCCGCTCATTGGTGCTGTCATAACGTGTAGCTATCAAGGCCTCTCTATTTTTCTAGTCTTTTTTTCAGCGTTCAGCGGTGCAGAAACAAAAAAACAGAAGCAAAACGACAATTCATTCTGTAAAATATATCTTATTGAGGTATTTTGCGACACCGCTTCTATACGCTACAAAACAGCAAAAAAAAAAAAAAACAAGGATAATGAAGTAGCCCGACAGTTGTCATTAAATTTTATTCATTATTTAAGCCTATTTCTCCCTGTAAATTTAGGTTTCATCAAAGTAGAAGAATCAGTTCCCGTTGAACAAGCCAAACCTCCCTCCTATTGGCTGCTGACCGCGTGGGGACTCGCTTATTGGACCAATAGCAGCGCTTTAAGTCGCTTGCCAGCGGCACAATAACATAAACTCGCATGCCAGCGGCACGATAATTTCACAACCAAAACAGTAAATAAAGAAACGGTGACAAAATGACCCAGAAAAGATAAAACTTAGCGTGTACGAGAATTCGGACAGAAAACTGTGCAGCGTGTGCGTATACTACGCGAGCATTTCAAACTCAAGATGAAACATACGCAAAGTGAACATATATTCAAAATGGCACCGTAGCAACAGAAGCACCCGAGACTAAACTCTAAAGTTTCGTTCTCAGCGCGATGGTGTCAAGTCATTTTATTTTATGCAGACTGAAAGAAAATAATAGCAAATGATGGTAACAGCAAGAAGAAACACAGAAAAATGAATCATACAAAGTAAGCTTCAACTGCTGAATAGTGCCTGTTGAGTCAAATCAAACCATATCATCCTGAACATATCAATCATCTCTGATCATTATCACTCATCATTCATCTAGACAAATCATTCTCGGGCGTAAAACATATCGAATGGAGCCAGCCATTTATAGAAATACTCAGTGTCATGTAAACAACCCATTTCTTGCCGAGTCATCGTATAAAAACACAGAATTATTTCACCATCAACAGATGTTTATCAAATTTGAGGACCGGAAAAATTATATCTCAAGATCTGGATATTTAAAAGAACACTCATGATAAATAGGACACGTTAGCGACTCAGGAATCACAATAAATAACAATTTTGGTCATTGATAAATAGTGCAAACCAGCTGCGAACAACATGGCATCAATGGGCGTTCAAGATGGCGACCGCGTTGCTACGGCGACTGCGTTGCTATGGCGACCGTGTTGCTATGTCGACCGTGTTGCTATGGCGACCGTGTTGCTATGGTGACCGTGTTGCTATGGTGACCGCGTTGCTACGGCTATAACAACCGCATTGCTATGGCAACTATGACAGTCAGAAGGGAGAGCTTCGTAGTCAATATTTAGTTTTCGTAGTAATAGATCTCAATAATTTGACGTCAATTATGCATAAAAAACTTTAGATTTAAATAAATAGTAGTTGGTAGCAACAAAGCGACGGACGTACAAAACGACTCACGTTGAAATACCAGCATTTTGATAATCCTAAGCTCTTATATCGATGTAAAATTAAAACAAGATGGGTGAGTAGATCAAACCTATGGATTTTAATGCCGGAGCATAAAGCCAAGTTTTCACAGTTATTTAGATTTTCGAACACTGTAAAGCTACGATTTTTAACTCTAAACCTTTCTTATTTTAGCCTCCGATACCAACTCTCCCTAGACACTAACTTCAGCAGCCCTCACTCGTTAATCCAGCAGCTTACAACCCTCAACCCTGGCAAACTTTACAACCCTTCACATACCTCCCCATGCGGGGGTTATCTCTCCCAGCCTCGAACCCTCATAGTTCCCCCACACCCCCATCACACATGGGGGGGGTGGGAGGGTTATTACTAAAGCCTAACCCAAATGACAGTAAATACAGAAAATGTCACAGAAAAATATAAGCAACCAAAGTTCGTCACGTGGCCTTAGGGGGAGGTTTGCATCCCCGTCAGTAGTCTAGGGGGATGAAGTTTTGGGGAAATAAAGGAGTTGCTAAGAAATGGGAGGAGAAATTGGTGGGGAATGGGGGAGGAATTGTTTGTTGGGGGACAGAAAGAAAAATTCCCACCACTACTGCACTCACTAACCCCTCAAGATCCCCAAAGTTCAATCAGAGACACCAACCCAAGGCCATGCTGCAAGCACCGCTTTTGACGGCTACCAAGCGCTGACCAACAGTGATACAGAAAATGAATTGAGCTTTCTGACGCTCGAACCCGCGACTCGCTCCTCTCATCTCAGTGCCGCTACCACTGCGCTACAGTTGTGTCTCATCTCCCAGTACACGTGTCACTACAATCCTGTCGTTGCTGTGGAAGAACCCATACGCCACTGCACCGCATCTAAACGTTCTTGCGGTCACTGCACACACAACACATTACAGGCATCATACAGCACTCACTGCACCACAGAACAACGTTATTCACTCTACCCGACACCAAAGCACCCACATTATTCACAGCACCACAGCAGCATATGATTCACAGGACACCGCATTGCAGTAGCAGACCACAGCACCACAGCACCCCGCCCTCAATGCACACAGCACCCAGCCTTCACTGCACACAGCACCACAGCACACATCATTCACTGGACACAGCACGCAGTGGCAGTCTTGCCGTTCTTGAGCCTGCCCTTGGGCCTGTACTTCTCGAGGTAGGCGAGCTGCTTGGCGTTGATGGCGCCGCGCCGCTTGGTCCTGATGTGCTGCACGGCGTCCTCGTACCGCATGCCCAGCTCCATGAGGGCGATCGCCACCAGCACAGGGGCGCGTCCCAGCCCTGCCACGCAGTGCACGGCCACGGTCGTGCCCACGGCACGGCGGGCACGTACTAGTGACAGCCACTCCTCCACTACCTGCCGGGGGAGGGAGGGGTTAGTGACAGCCACTCCTCCACTACCTGGCGGGGGAGGGAGGGGTTAGTGACAGCCACTCCTCCACTAGGCAGGTGGGGCAGTAACCCACCTGAGCAGGTGGGGCAGCAGGTGGGGCAGCAGGTGGGGCAGCAGGTGGGGCAGCAGGTGGGGCGGCAGGAGGGGCAGCAGGTGGGGCAGCAGGCGGGGCAGTAACCCACCTGGGCAGGTGGGGCAGTAACCCACCTGAGCAGGCGGGGCAGTAACCCACCTGAGCAGGCGGGGCAGTAACCCACCTGGGCAGGCGGGGCAGTAACCCACCTGAGCAGGTGGGGCAGTAACCCACCTGGGCAGGCGGGGCAGTAACCCACCTGGGCAGGCGGGGCAGTAACCCACCTGGGCAGGCGGGGCGGTGCCGTCATCAAAGACGAGGTTGGTGACGGTGATGCCGTGCTGGGCGAGCAGGTCCGTCTGGTAGGTGGGCTCGCACACGCGCACCACGTCCTTCACGGAGTGCCGGCACAGCTCCTGCGGGGGGCGTGGGAGTTAGGGCGGCGTACAGAAGTTAGGGGGGCGTTGAATTGGCATAGGGACACTTGAGGAACTTTGGGAGAAGTTACCCCGACATTGAGAAAAGTTACCTCAACAAGGAGCATAGTTACCCCAAACCGGAACATAGTTACCCCAAACATGTGTTAAGCTACCCCAACCAAGAAAATAGTTACCCTGAACATTTGTTAAGTTAATCCAACAAGAAATATAGTTACCCTAAACAAGATCTAACACGATTATAATTTTTTCTCCTATATAGACCCACCTATTGTCCCAAAATAGACCCACCTCGATGTAGGCCACCATGGTAGCGTCGCTGGGACGGTCCGTGATGAGGAACTTCATGTCCTTGAACTCAATCTCTGAGGGGGCCGGTCTGATGTTCTTACCCACTCGGGGGGCGAAGGCTTGGGGGGGCGGCGCCCCACCCCCACTAGAGATGCTGTCCCGACCCCCCGGGGTTGCTGTGATTCCCCCACCGTTCATGGCGGCTGTACAACGCAGCGAAATTTCACGACAAATGATGGTGGTTTGATTTTACAGCGCAGTTCTCAGATGATGTTTGATTTTACGGAAAATGGAGCGGTGACGGGGCTTGACAGAGGATTGATGGAGAATGACAGAGCTTCGTACAGGATACGGTAGCGTGGACCTGTAAGTAGATGACAGTGTCAGCCAGGGCAGAATAACGAAAATGAGACAGAAGATGACAGAAAGTGACATGCAAGACGGCAATACTGAAGTTGAACCCAAAGTTTTGAAATCCAGAAAGTGTTTCCTCAAAAACATATAAAATACAAATCTCTTTAATACTATCTAAAAAATCTATAATACAAAAAGTCTATAGTAAAAAAGTTTTCTGGGAGCAATACACAAATTTCTGCTGGAATATTTGCTCTAACTAATGCTTATGACAGATAAAAATGAGGCAGTTCTACTTTCATTATAAAATCCAGTCATGTTTCAGTATGTAATCTTTTATTTTATAGTTTTACCAAGAGAAGTTAAGCAGTTCCTTGATTGTAGGGCGACTGTAGAGAGCCTGTAGGGGCGACTGAATCACGACTGTAGGCCAACTGTAGGCCAGCTGTATGGAGACTGTAGGGCGACTGTAGCCTGGTAACTTCAAGTAAACAAGGACAAACTAGAGCAGCAGTGAAGAATTATCTGACAGGCGGGAGGTGATGTTCACTCTTGTTCAGGTGGCCAAACTTGACGGTGTTGCAAACAAACTCTTGAACATTTACAGCCTTGCGTGGATCAGAAAAAGATTTCCTCAGTTCATGAACTCCACACAGCGGAGATTGAGTGGACTCTTGCAGTGCGTGTTCTTTTGTGCGTGTAGAAATACGGACCGGGTTCTTGTTCACCAGACGTCTGAAAAGACCAGACCTTCTAAAGCACAGACGTTGGTTCTTGGAGCGGATAAACCACGTAGAACTTGGTAGTGTACAGCACACACGGAGAGTTACTAGGTTCTTCCTGAGGCCAGAACTCTGCCTGTAGAACCTTTGACCAGGAAATGTGCTATGTGCTGCAACCAAAACTCTCCTCTTCACACTCAACAAGCCTGCAACACTTAGTCTCTTGCTATATGAGCCTCCTTCTGCACTTGGTGCAGCACCTTCTGCACCACCACCAGTCTCTCCCTTGGTGGAGAAACTCTCACAAACCTCCGCCAGCTTATATGGGGTACGGCTGTAGGGGTACTTTTGCTGGGGTACGGCTACAGCTGGTACCTCTGTGTGGTATGGTTCTAAGGATATGGCTGCAAAGGTACGCAATAGATGCAGAAACTTCCGTTCTCTTCCTTAATGGCTTACAAAAGTTATTTCAATCAAGGCTCCAGACACCAATATCTAAATTCAGAAAAATATTTTACCTCTTTACTCTTGAGAAAACTGTATGTAATTGTTGCTTGGAAATAAGTTACTATACAACATACACTAGTTGGCTGAAGACAATGCACAAACAATCTAGCCTTGCACACAAACTTTCCGCTACCAAGCAAATTGTGCAACACTTGATTCGCCGACACCAAGAGTTAGTGCGAGAAAAGCACGTATATAAACAGACACTGCAGAGATCAATAATATATCTTAAGATGAACAATACTATCAAAATATTGCCTTCTTCACAAGCTCCAAGACTCACATACACAATAAAATAATCTCTTCACTTTCTCTTCTCAAAGTAAATGTGTACAAAGATTTTTGCTTCTCACTGAAAATGCAATGGGTGTTTCAGAGTCACTTCACAATAACCCTAAACTTCACTTAAATTCAGCGGTGTGTCCAAGGAAGACTCAATGCTTCTGGAAAATCAATCTTTAATAGTCAAATAAATTTTCTTTAACTGAAATTTCAACTTCAACTAGTTTTCAGATGTATATGGACCTTGTATTTATTTTTCCTTTTTTCTTGAATGGCTTTGGAAGAACTTCGGAGAAAAATTCACCCGAAGATTTGCACCAGTGAGAACAATTTTTACCAAGAGAAGAACAAGTGTGGGGCGAGTGGGGAACAAGAGTGGGGTGAGTGGGGAACAAGAGTGGGTGTTTTGGTGCTGGGGAAGACTTGGTAATTCGAATGATAAGCTATGCCGGGGCAGATGTTGTTAAGGCGGGCGCCACGAGCCTCCCATGTGATGGTTCCTCAGCGGCGACGGAGGGCACTGGCCGGGACAAGCGGGTGACAGCGGCACTGTGGGGAGAGGGGGCGTTATTCGAGTTCGAGAGGGGGCAATGTAGGGGGCGTTATTCGAGTTCCAGAATATCACCTAAATATATAAAGATATAAATATATTTAGATCCAATTTAGTATGTGTAATTGTTGATATATTTTACCTATCCTGAATTCCAACCTGATCGGGGGCACTGTGGACAGTATTGCCAGAAAAAAAGTAAAAAATTCATTTAAAGACAATACATCACACATCCAGCATATATACCACAATATTAATGCAGGGGAAAGAGATATTGTAATTTATAGGGTTAAAAACAAACTAGAGAGCAAATGCAAAACATTATGATATGAAACAAGCAATAGCAAACTTTGAGGTACTTTATGGAGCATGTGAGAGCACCATGCACATTTAGTTACATGGTAGTGTGCCTCACTCACCGTGTGAAGCGTGTATGTTTAGTCGTGTGGCAGCAGTACACTCACCGTGTGAAGCGTGTATGTTTAGTCGTGTGGCAGCAGTACACTCACCGTGTGAAGCGTGTATGTTTAGTCGTGTGGCAGCAGTACCGTGTATTGAGCCTTGCAGAATTCCCCAGACGCCTGCAGCAGTTCCATGAGAGAGTAGCCTCTGCCGCTCAACACCAGCTGTGGGCAATACAGAGCTTATAGAATATACAGCCTCGTATGTACTGTGTTACATCATATGCTTCCTATATAATATAATGCATTTACACCTTGTTATATAATATTCTTCTTATATAATAAGCTTGTTATATAATATTTTGCCCTGTGTACCTTGTTATATAATAAGCTTGTTATATAATATATCACCCACTATGTACCATACCGGTATAGACTATTGATTAGCAGAGGTAAAAAAACCGATAATTTAATTACCTCGTAATGATTACCCCTGATGGGAATTCATCAATTACCGTAAAATGGGGTAACTTAGACCACTTTTATTTTTATAAATGATGCCTTTTTTTTACTAGCTAAATTAAACTTGAATTGAAACATGCAAAATACAGGTCTATACTCTAGCTTCACTCACCATAAATTGCTGGCTCCTGCCTCTCATAGTCTTTATGTAATTTCAAAAAAAGTGATGGTCTTTGTTACCCCAGCTCTTGGGGTAACTTAGACTGGGTGGTAAAATCAATTATATTTTTTGGTAAAATAACTCCAAATAACTCCAGGTTTTGGTGCATTGTAGTAGAACTCTTCTAGTTACATATGCAAATGACAAACTTGAGGAAAGTGTCATAGTTTGCAAATGGGGGGCGCTGCCCCATAATGAGGGAAATGTGACTACCTAATGGCAGCCCTGATGGGGTAATATTGACTGGCTTGGAAATTAAGCTAAAATTACCATATATAAGACTCTGTAGAGTCTGAAACATAAAGAAGAAACATAAATAGGCTGTCAAACATAAAATATGTTATATATGGTAATTTTATATTAACTTCCAAGCCAGTCTATGTTACCCTGTCAGGGCTGACATTAGGTGGTCTAAGTTACCCCATTTGGGGGTGGCGCCCCCCATTTGCAAACTATGACACTTTCCTAAAATTTGTCATTTGCATATGTAACTAGAAGAGTTCTACTACAATGCATCAAAACCTTGAGTTATTTAAACAAAAAATAAAAAAATTGGAGGGGGTACTCTGACAGGCTTTAAATAATAGCTTTTTTTCGTGGGTAACATTTTTAATTTTTTAACCTATTAGATATGCAAACTTTTCAAATCTTTCTATTGTGTTATGTAGCCTCAGTATTAGGCCTTTAATGCCCATTGACAAAATTTTTCTATGTCAAATAGTTTTTGAGTTGTGGGGTTTTTGTTAAAAAAATGAAAAGTGGTCTAAGTTACCCCGCCGGTCCAAGTTATCCCATTTTACGGTACTGAATGCAGTGAAGAGTATTTCAATAAAATATGCAAGTGTTTCATATACATTGTATATCAATGTCTAGAACATGTGAATGACTAAAAATGAGACTTGTAGCCTGCAAAAAAATTTGATAACCAAAAATTTTTAGCTTTCTTTCAATGTATAAATACCATCCATCTCTCCACTAGTGGGTTCCAAGATTTATTATCAAATAACTTTGTACAGCCGGAACAGAGATAATATGTTAAAAAAATTTTATAAACAAAAAAATGAAGCATTGATGACATTGCACCAGCTTTTTTATAAGATCATAAGATGACGCCTCAAGTATTTCTAATGTGATGCCTAAAATACTTGCAAGAACTTGAAATAAATGTGGACATCAGCAAAGAATGCAGAACTCCATGACACACCTAGAATGTGAAACAAGCTCACACCCACAACACGCAAGCAACAAAATGCCTGCACCCACAACACGCAAGCAACAAAATGCCTGCACCCACAACACACAAGCAACAAAATGCCTGCACCCACAACACGCAAGCAACAAAATGCCTGCACCCACAACATGACTGAGGTGCCAACAATGCAAGTGTTGGCAGTTAGCCAGGCACCTGCTGAGACACACACGCAGCTATCAATCTGGGCACGCAGGCTGCCAAAAAAAACTTCAGTTGCATCTGTGGGCATGCTCAATGTTTTTAAGCCCTATTTGCCTATGGACAACCTAACCCTAATTCATGCAAATCCAAGCAGGCACCTGAGATTTAGAAAAATCTAATAGTAAAGCCAAGATACCTAGCAGAAATCCATTTTCTGAATGTTTTTTTTTTCAACATATTCTTATCAACTTGACAATATTAATAAATTAAAATGGGAAACAATTGGATAAGCACAACTGAAAATCACTCTTGCTCTGTTGTGCTAGTCTGCATTTTCCTAATTTTTTATGATTAATATGTATGGTAGTACTGTAATGGTAATCTTAATGGTAATTGTCACCAGCCTGTCTGCAGGAAGTGGTGGATGCCAATCAATTTATAATAAAACTAGAGAATTGCTTACAATATATCTTGATTTAATTGAAATGATATTGTTTGCACCAAGCTTAGCTCAGCATTGAAATCTTCAAAACAAGATCATAAACAAAAAAAATATAACTCAGTACTCACTGCAGTGAGCGACACAGAGTGCATTTTTTTGTTGACGAAAACGTGAAGTCACGGACAGACAGACAGACAGACAGACAGATGGACATGACAAGCACAGTAGGGCATTTTTTACATGAATGAGAAAAATGCACTATTGTGCTTGCCATGTCAGTCTGTCCGTCCGTCCATGACTTCACATTTTTGTTGAAAAGAAAATGCATGCTGTCACTTGCTGCAGTGAGTACAGAGTGCTATTTTTGTATGACTGAGAAAGATGGAATAGACCAAGACTCGTGAATCTTCACAGGTTGCTTCTGAAGATTGGGGATGAGAGTTTGTCATTTAAATAGATAAACACATTAAGTGCATCTATGTTGTATTCAGGGCATATTCCCTACCAGTGGCGCAACCCACTGGTGGGTCGTGCTGCACTTAATGTGTTAAGGGCAAAATACTGCAAGTGTCAGGGGGAAGAGTGAAACTTGTTATAAATACCATTGGAATAACACCATTTATTTCTATAGTTTGACGCAGCCACATTACTCATAAATTGTTATCTATATTCATACAGTAGTGTTATCACTGAAAGCTCTTCCCGGTATTTCAGTAATTCCAGTAAAATTGAATCTATACACATGATGCATCTCCAACATATCTTTTTCCATACTTTACAGACTGGAATACCAATTATCAAATATTCATCAAGTTTGATCATATAGAATCCCAGATTAGAGAAGCATTATAAATGATTACTTGAATTTTGCATCTGTTTGAGCTCAATTATGGTCCATTAGAATAAACTTCACCCTGTATATAATTAGAATGCTGAATCATTATGAGTGCCACAACTTGTGGTGAAACACAGCCTGCATTTTGCCATCACACAACTCCCACGATGGAATTCCAGGAAGCAAAGTGACACACCAGAGATTTTTCAGAATCAGTTCATTTTCAATTTCTTCATCTACTCAAAATATAAGCCAAAATCTTATGTATGATGATGCTGGTATCCATGATACTTTGCTGGTCTACTTATAAGACTCAAAAATAAACTTGAGAATGAGTCTAGTCTAAAAAAAACTCTGCTTTGACACACTATGTGCACCTTAGTGACCTAGCATTTGATTAAATAAAATGAAACCAGATTTTCCTTATATAAATCTACTTATAATTTGAAATAAAGCAGCCACTAGCAAATATCTGGAAATTCTGCACAACATCAATGATCCACAAGACAGATTTGAGCTTGGACAAAAAGCTTGTGGCTTATAAAATTGATTTGTGGTGCACAAAAATATTTTTCACATCTGCAAAATTCACAGAGATTCAGCCAAAAAATCTAGAAATGGATCTCAAAGCCAATCTGAAATTTCACTTGGTACCGTAAGTTCTAAAAATTGTTGGTAGGCTACAAACTATCACCATAAAGGCAATTTTCAGAATTGCAAGCAAAGTTGTGCTATTATTTTTATTTTACTTGGAAGAAATTTGGCAATGGCCATAAAAAAGGAGGAAATAGATGGCAAGCTTGCACATTCTCATGTTATTTATTCACTGGTGGCAACCGGCAAAATGGATGTTCACCATAGAGATAGATAGGCTTAGTATGATAGATTTATTAAAATTAATTTCATATTTAATTTTACTGCTCTAGCTATTCAAGTTCAAAATTTGATCAATTTTTTGTGTAGTAATGCTGGTATCTATGATACCTTACTGGTCTAGTCTGCTAATAGGGATAAAAAAGAAAGTCTTTAAAAAAAAGTCTCTGCTTTACCCGCCCTTTGCCACTTTGACTGTGGCTATGGCTTCTAACATTCACAGACAGATCGTGATCAAAAACTAGTACAAGAAAGTTTACTAAAAAATAGCTATTGATTGAAGGTCCTCCTGAAATATTCCTATATTAAGCAGATTCAGTCTTAAAGATTGTGTTATTTCACCAACCATAATCTATTGTATCATAAGTGATAATCACATGGCTGATGCCTCTGGCTCTTGTAGTCTGTACGAGAATTGTCTAGAGACGAGTAAGACACCTGAGACACCCACCCCTGGGCGATCTAAATAACTTTTATTTACCTGATTGCAATTTCCTCCACAATACTTCAATTTCATGTTTTGACGGACTCGCAGCACACTTCAACGTTCTTGCAGTTAAGCAAGAAAATCTTTAGACAAGATCACCAACAGTGAATGAACCCAAGCGGGAATGTACGGCTACACAGGAGCGCACAGACAACACACCTCCACTTGTGAATGCTGAAGCACAACTGCAGAATGCCAGATGTGATGGCGTCTGCGCGATGGATAACACCATATCCAGTCATTCATTAGGTGTAAAATCCTATATACATTTGACACCACATGATATGAAAGGATCAAATATATTGATAAGAGATTATAATTCATCATTAGTAAGCCAACTAATAAAAGGTATTGTAATAAATTCGTAGACATGACGAAATCGTTTCGAGATGACGACCGCTAGGTGGCGCAATGACCGACCGCGTTCACGAAACGAATCTCTTCACAGAGGTCGATATAATCTATTAAAAAACTAAGTTTATCCTCTTTCGCGGAACACATGAATATCTCCGCGGACTCATGGAAGGTGAATAAACCACACGAAGCCATGGACTGATTCACCAATAACGTCAACATCAACAACAACGGCATGAACAATAACCAAGAATAACAACAGCTTGAGACAGACACAGTGAGTAACGTGAACACAAATTAGGCGTATGAACACTTGACCACTTGCATGTCTATTTTGAATTTGGTCTTTGTTATCATTTATCATGACTTCTAAGGTATCGTGTGTTATACGGTATCGTATCGTGTGTTATACGGTATCGTATCGTGTGTTATACGGTATCGTATCGTGTGTTATACGGTATCGTATCGTAGCAGTGCAGCACGGGGCGAGGCAGAAACGCAATTTATACAGATTGCATTTATACAGTTCTGTATAAACGCAATTTATACAGAAATTACAAGGCAATTCGTGCGGCAAAGTTCCGTGCCCACAAGGTTCATTCCTCCGTTTCGTTTAAATTCGTGACGTATTCGTTTAAATTCCCGACGTATTATTCGTTGGCATGGCACGTGAGTTCGCAAGGTTTTATACCAAATGAACTTCTCGACAAGGATCAAAGTATATAAAACTTCGTATCGTCAGTTCTGCGCCAAGTTATGCAAGATCATGGGGGAAACTGCGAAGCTTGGTACGCAGCAGCAGGAGCATAAACACTCGACCTCCTGTCACGCGCAGCGTCAACTGCCAACTGATGTCCTAGGGTTGCCAGATGTTACCAGGAGAAAACTGCCTAACTCGGTAACATAATTACATAAACGACCATAATTATATTTTGGAAAAATTTGCAATATGCAGTACAAGAATTAAAATTTCGTGTTTCTCATACGTTGCGATATACAATATATTTAGAGGCATTGGTCAACAACTGCTGGTCAACAATTTAAAAAATATAACTCAGTACTCACTGCAGTGAGTGACAGAGAGCGCATTTTCTCGTCGACGAAAACTTGACGTCACGGACAGACGGACGGACAGACAGACAGACAGACAGACAGACGGACGGACGGACGGACATGGTAAGCACAATAGTGCATTTTTTTCCATAAATGAGAAAATGCGCTAAAAATAGCCCCGCGTCTAAGATGGCTGAAGAAAAAAGCCTATCTGGCAACCGAACCGTCGTACGTCCGCCAGCCGTCGTCACGTGATGACGGTATACATTTTCCACAGAAATATCATCGCGTGATAGCGAGAACGAACCGAGTCACTCCAATCCACTATAATCAGGAATAATCCACTACAGAACAATATAATCCCCCACAAAGGAATATAATACCACAAAGGAAAATAATCTATAAAGGAATGCTAATCCATACAAAGGAATATAATCCCATACGAAGGAATAGGATCTTCCAAAAATGAAAATGATCTTCTACAAAGGAATAGTATCCTCTGCAAAGAAATTTAATCACCTTCACAGATATACAATCCCCTTCACAGGAATAAAATTCTCAACAAAGGAATATAATTCCCCTTAAATAATGAAGATTCAAATGCAGTAAAATATCTTATGGTTACAATTAAAATATATCACACTAATTCATATAGCGACACTTTCATAGTTAGGGCGGCCGTAGCACTAATACGCTCTGCTTTCAACACTGATTATTTTTTTGTCGCCAAATGCAACTAAAAAAAATTAATTGCAGAATTTGTCTGGAAAGAAGAAACCTGACTGACAAACCAAATATTTTTTAGCATCAGTTCATTTTTAATTTTCTAATTAAATGGGAAAATTACAAGCAAGTACATTCATTGTACATTCAGCCAGTCACAATGAGAGCTAAAATGTCAAGATGGCATTTAGTGCATCAGTATTTAGACAAAAAAAAGGACAAAAGCTCATCAGTATTTAGACAAAATCCCACTGATCTTTCTGAGATACGGTATGGACTATGGACGATACGTAAGATGCCATGCCGGCGCACGTCCGACAAGGTCACAAGGTCAGGGTATGACGTCACGAGTTCAGAGTATGACGTCACTATGACGTCAGAGGTCCTTCAATGGGACGTGTTATATAACCAACTGAGGGCATCAGCTGGTCCAACTGAGGGCATCAGCTGGTCCAACTGAGGGCATCAGCTGGTCCAACTGAGGGCCTCCGAACATCGATCTCCCTACCAATCATCGACGGCTTAGAGACGGAGGACGACGAAGGCGGCGCATCAGCATGGCTTCGGACGAAGATATCATAAGTTTAAGTAAGTTTGGAGTAAGACGCGAGTGTCCTACGCGATATCCGGTACACGAGAGAATTTATGAACACAGAATTTGTGAATTTGAGGACATTTGGCAACAGCGCATCAATTTTTGAGGAGATTTGGCAACAGCGCATCAATTTTTGAGGAGATTTGGCAACAGCGCATAAATTTTTGAGGACATTTGGCAACAGCGCGTTTGATTTTTGAGGACATTTGGCAACAGCGCACTAATTTTTGAGGACATTTGGCAATAGTGCATAAATTCTTTTAGGATATTTGGCACCAGCGCACTAATTTTTGAGGACACTTGGCACCAGCGCAGTAATTTTTAAAGACATTTGGAACCATCGCAGTTGATTTTGAGGACATTTGGCACCAGCGCAGTAATTTTTGAGGACATTTGGCACCAGCGCATCAATTTTTGAGGACATTTAGCAACATCGCACTAATTTTTGAGGACATTTGGCAACCACGTGGGTGTAAATTCGTGGCTAAATTTCTGGCATATAAAATCCAACCTGAAATTTGCGAAATACGACACAAGAAAAAATAAAATGGGGTCATATTTGAGGTGAAATTAAAAGGGATAGCGGCAAAGCAGAGGATTGTAGATGTAACAATCAAATGATAGTTATGATAAGAGGAGATAGCGCTTATCTAGCGCGTGACGTGACTGCGTTTGAGGTATAAGGCCGCCGTGTGTCTGTCCCGTCAAAAATAATATATATAATAAAATTAAGTATATAAACGCAGATTATAATAGCAAGTAATAAAGGACGGTACATACAATATAGAAATTCTGAGGCAATTTTGACTGTAATTCATATTTTAAGGGCATATATTTCAACAGTTCACACATTTATGGGGACTTTTAGCTTCCAAATCAAGTAATTTTGGGGTAATTATCACAGATGCCAAAACCCACAATAAAAATCAAACTAAATGTGAAGTATATAAGAAACAAAACTATATATATATTATATATACGTTTTTGAAAGTATTTTTGAACTATGTAGTAACTTAATAGTATTTTTAAACTATGTGGTGGACGATTGCGACTGCCCTATATTACACGAGTCGCAGTTATAAACAAATATATAATATTGGTCAGAACTACGACTTGTATGGTTATATAATATGTACCGAATGTTATTGACTATGAAATTATTTCGATTGCGCTATAAAGATGTGGTCACGTTTTCTTTATAAAATAGATATTATTATATAATATCATTTAAAATGGATGTATAAAATAAATAAAAAAAAATATTAAAAAATAGAATTAAAATATTATGTAGGCTGGCGACAGAAGTGCTGTGGCAACTCATGTAGCAGTAACGTAAAAATTGCTAAAGAATATCTTGATTCAGTTAAAAACTAATAGCATTTAAAAATAAGTGTGGGGTTTAGTTCAGTAGTTAGCGGAAGTTAAACGTTTGAAGTGAACCTAAGGCAGGAGGCTACCATATTAGCCACTCTGTGCGTTACGCTCAGACAAATAGATGGATCACATTGTCCGAATATTAGCACACTTGTTGCGTGCAGCACTGAAACGTACATTTTCCTTGCAAAACTTGGTCAAGATGACTCACATGAGGGCAAAAGTACATAGATATTAGGACAAAGTTTCGTGAATTTATTTGAGTGTACCAACTGTCGAGCAGAGCTACCATTGAAGGTTATTCGTAGTCTCTTCCTCATACGTCACAGATTCTATTATATAAAAAACACGCATGCAAATCATGTAAAAATAAAGTATCGTAAGTTTAATTATTTATCCGCTATTGAAGTTCTCCGGAATTTTTTGTATTTTCCGGACTGGAACTTTTCGTAAAAAGATAAGATCGGTCGAACCGTCCCACGTGTTTCTTCCGAAACGCGGAACTGCGGAAGGACTAAGATTGTGAATTAAAACAAGATTATAGATAATATACGAGATATTTTAACAAGGTTGACTTACCATTCGATATGCAACGCAGCGAAAATCCGCTAGTTTACTACACGAACAGCTTTTCTTCATACTAGAATATGACAGCGCTTAGGAGCGAGCGATGATGCACCTCACCTCACAACGTCTCAACTGACACTGGCTATTATCATACACTTGGCAGCTAGAGGCGCCACCGTCCAAACGTACGAACATGCTCAGCTGATTGCATATTTCATCTCAACATGACCTCTATTAAACGCATACTAATAAATTCCATATCAAATCGTCGTATCTTATCTAAAAATGTTAAAGTTTTATGATTCGTTCAATATGCTTCCGGCACTAGGTTTTCCTTCAACATCGACAAAAGAAACATTTTTCTAGAATGATCTTTCTTTCTGTACATATATGTGCATTTATAGTATTTATAGGACCAAATCTATCATTGACTTTCCAGAAGGTCAGTTTACAGCGGTCAATTTTGCCTCTTTTTTAAAATTATTGATCTATTTAAACTAAATACGACTGAAATTCATGTCATTAATAGATCCCTGAGTAACATATTCCCATATTTATATATTTTAATCACTTACTGCATTATTAGAATAAAATTGAAACAAATAACCATTTCAAATATTATATACATAGTCATAAATTTTTAAAATTACAAGTTAATAAACCATCTGATCAGGCAGCATTAGGTTGTCATGACAACGATGTATTTCTTATCTACAAATGTACGATAACAAACCATGTACACTTCACCCAATCCCTGCGATAACAGTAATAAGATTACAGGAAGTCATAAATAAGAAGGTAATGAAAGCCGACCTTGTAACATATACTTAATGAAATGAATTACTTAATTTAATGATACGCACGACATTAACCTCTCGTGTACATAAATGTTTCATGCCTGAACATGACGCTGTAGCGAGTGTACCTACATATATACCAGCTGTACTACTGCTATACCAGCTGCACTACTGCTATACCAGCTGTACTACTGCTATACCAACTGCACTACTGCTNGCACTACTGATATATCAACTACAATAGTTCTATACAAGCTAAAAAAGTGTACGATTAAGCACAGTTCAATTTTATTCAAAATTTCATTTCAGTTCGGGCAGACAACCAAGAAAATTAGTTTTAAATTGTTACACATCCTAATTTGTCGTTTTCTAAAAAGTTTTCTAGCGCAAAGAATGATTGGGATGGAAAACTATGCTAAATTTGCTAATCACTCAATAATTCTGATCTTTATAACTGAAATTTTTTTTCAGTGGTCTGCTTGGTCATGAATTCTCAATATCTACACATTTATGAATTGTGTGAATTTAAAGTATGGTATTGTATGAATTGTGTGTGTTATATGAGTTTAATGTATTTGGCGCGTACATCCGTCTAACTATGACACAATTAATTTTTCTATACTAAACTCTTTGGGGAAAATATATGTTATTATTTATTTGTACATAATGAAGAGTTGATTTTTTAATGTTACTTCAATTAAAAAAACTTACTCATATTATAGTTTACTATCTAGTAAATCGAATAGAAAAGAATTCAAGTAATTGAATCACAACTGTTCATAAAAATTACAAACTCTTTTCAGAAGATATTAGATTTAGAAATCAATTCAACATAAGGTACTTATAATACCACAAAACTTAGAATACCACATAAGGTATAATAATATGAGAGATGAATTTAGAGGATTGTTAAATATTTTAAATAGAAAACTGGTTAGTAAGTGCAGTAAGTCAGTAAGCTAGTCAGTAGACGTGCAGTAAGCTAGTCAGTAGACGTGCAGTAAGTGCAGTAAGCTAGTCAGTAGACGTGCAGTAAGTGCAGTAAGCTAGTCAGTAAGTGCAGTAAGTCAGTAAGAGGTAGGAAGTCTCAGTAAGTCTCAGCGCTGGCTGAGCGCGGGAGAAAGCGGCCGCGGTGCGCGCGTGTCGCCGACATTTTTACGTGCGCTTCCTCGACGCGATTTCAATTTCTTTACCATTGTTGCTAACTTTTTATGTAGAAGTAATTTATTGACTGAAAATAATGTATTATTCATTTATTATTTATTATTTAATAATTTGATTTATAGACTGAATATCATTTAATATTCATTAACTAATTATTATTTAAAAGTAATTAATTTCTTTAAAATTATTTATATATAGAAAATTAATTATTTATTCCAAATTAAATAGTTATTGGAGAGTACTTATATATTTGAAATAAATTATTTATTGGAAACTAATTAATTATTGGAAATTGATTATTTATTGCAAATTAATTAGTTATTTACAATTAATAAATTATTCAAAAGTAATTATTCATATAAACTTAATTACTTATTTAAAATTAATTTATATATCAAAATAATTTATGATTAAGTTACATTCTACATGTCGCAGATCTACAGAATATTTCCAAGCAAACGCATGAACGAGTTGTTTCAATGATCGATATTTTCACTTAAATTTGTTAATAAAAAATATTGTGCTTCAAAATTTAAAACTTTTGCGGCATTAATATGTTATATTAAAATAGATTTTTACCTAATAATTAATTAATTAATTGAATATAAATTATTGAGTAATTACTAATAACTAATATTAATGATTAACAACGAACTTAGATATTCACATTATAAATCAGTGTGCCCGCTTAAAACTTATTGAATTACCTTAAGTTTAAACTTATTTAAGTTAGATTTTCTTTGATTTGAGCTTCCTTCAAGTTATAAATTCATTTAAATAAACATCATCATTAAAATTCTAATACTCCTTCTCGTACTCATACTTCTACTCCTGTTCATACTGCTACGTGCTACCTCTACTCGTGATTAACATCATGAGAAAATCAAAGTACGTATGCTGAATGTTAACATAAACGAACTTACATACTCGTCTGATGTTGTTCATGCTAAATCAAACATGGCGGCAAGATTCTGTACATCATTTAATTACGAGTCGATATTTATAACGGAGGAGAAATGTGCTATTTGTAAATGTTATTAATTATGTAATACAAATTTTAATTTAAGTTACAATAGGAACGACAATAAATACACTCTCATATCTTTATATTATCATTTATACCTGTTTTATTCACTCAAGATTTAAATAATTATAAATTAGTGAAGTCAAGTTAAAGTGAAACATTCATAACTAGCTAGTGTTATCTACATCACAATTAAATCCGTCTTGTTAGTGAAGCAATAGTTAGGTTCTTTTTCTCATTCAATTCGTTCCTGAAAACCTCCATTGCTCGTCCATTTTTCGTTTCATTTTTGAGAAGAAAATGTTTGCCTTCACGTGAATGTTTTCACTGGCGACCGCAGGCGAGGCTATATAAGGCGAGCACCGCACAGCTGTTGTCAGTCTGCCACCTGCACCCACACGAGTACGTACTCCGCTCCGCTAACATGGCCAACACTCTCCTAGTGAGTATATATGTACTAAAACAGTGCTTGTTCATTTACGTGTACAATTTATTTCTATATATTTAACCTTCATAAATTAAATTATCTCATAAGTTAGTGCTATATCAAAATAAATCAACGTACAGTTTGGAAATCCTTCAATTAAAATACGTAACTAAAAATAACTATAGATAGGTAGCTATAATCTTCCAAAACCATATACACTCAATTGTTATATCAGTTAACATGTTTCAAATTTATGATTTACGATGTAATGTTAACGCTCAATACATCAACATACCTGCTCCAAACTCCTATAACTCTGTACACGCAATTATACATAATTTTTATAACATATATAATATAATATAATTTATACATATATTGTAACTCTTTAAATACAACTATACACATCCTACACAAGGCTCTAGATTACAATAGGTGCTAATTAGCTCCTCAACACCTAGAAATCTCTAGCCTCTAGGCTCTAGGAAAGCTGGTCTAGGTTTCTCTTGGGGAAAAACTAGACCCCCTCTAGGGGGGGTGTGGGAGAGGGGGGACTCTCACCAAAGATTGTCATGATTGTGTCTCACCAAAGATTGCCATGATTGTCTCTCACCAAATATTGCCATGATTGTGTCTCACCAAAGATTGCCATGATTGTCTCTCACCAAAGATTGCCATGATTGTCTCTCATCAAAGATTGTCAAGATTGTCTCTCACCAAAGATTGTCATGATTGTCCCCCACCAAAGATTGTCAAGATTGTCTCTCACCAAAGATTGTCATGATTGCCTCTCACCAAAGATTGCCATGATTGTCTCTCACCAAAGATTGTCATGATTGTATCTCACCAAAGATTGTCATGATTGCCTCTCACCAAAGATTGCCATGTCTTTGTCTCACCAAAGATACAAAAAATAAAACAGCGATAAGAAAACATGTCAAGACAATGAATGATTATACAAAATGATCTTACTAAAACTTTGCGCAAGCACGATTTTAGCACATGTCGCTGAAAGTTCTATCAAGCGCTTATGGCTACATCGATCTGTCTGATTTTTGGTGGAGAGATGCAGAAAAACATAGGGAACAAATCTTGAAATTTCAAAATTTTTAACTCTATTACTTTTTGAGTTACAACCATTCAAAGTTGAGTATCTTTTATTTTGGGACACCCTGTATATGTTGTATATACCTACGTGTATTGGTTGAGAAAATATAGGTACCATTGTTTATATGAGATGTGATAGAGTTTCTCATATATCATGGGAACGCCAGTATATTTAACACATATATATATAATATTATGTTATATTATATTATATTATATTATATTATATTATATTATATTATATTATATTATATTATATCATATTATATTATATTATATTATATATACAGATATTATATTTATATTTGATTTATACCTCATACGGTGGTACTCCTACACTCTACATCACTATTGGGACACAGTCCCACTCAAATCTCTGAGTGTAGAGCAACACCGCATCATTACATTCCTCAATTCCAATACAAACTTTAACTACACACAGAAAAATGTGTTAAAACAAAGCACGTTTGTGTAGCTCGCCCTGTCATTGGCTGTCGCCGTGGCGATGACGTCATCATTCCCCGCTGGTCACGTGATCAGCAAACGCGCCGTCCTATTGGACGACGACTTCGGTGAGTCATAAGCACCTTATAGGTGATAATCATCCTGTAGGAAATGATAAATATTATAGAAGATAATCATTATACAAGCAATGATAATCTCATGAACGATAATCGTCTTATAGGCGATAATCATCATGTGTGCAGTAAGCATTTCCTCTACGGTTATCATTGTTTCTAACCTTTAATAATACTGATCATAATAATAATAACCTAACCCTGTAATAATTATCTAATGTGGAATTGATATAAAAACAGTCATATAAGGTCCTCTTGTTCTGCAGCTCACGTTTTAATTAACGAAGTTTAACATTGTATGCCAGGAAATACGACAACTATAACCAGGAAAATTGATAATTAACTGAGTCACCCCCTGATAAGGAAATTATCTTATAACATAGCAAGCAGTATAGTATAAGTACTTTAATTTAACATAGTATAACATTGGAATGCTGGAGCAATACAGAACAAAACTGCAAATCACACATATAAAAACATGATTACTTATCATGGAAGTTGCTAAAAGCTCCAAGTTTTCAGGCCATATATTACTCATCAAGATAGTTAAGTTGTATTCAATAGGATAAATTATCGTAGAACTAGCCGATCATTCAACTAATAAAAATAGAATAATATTATAATTCTAATCCGTTTATGCACACCTAAACCTAAAGTCAAAGTTTTTTCCATGCATGTTTAAATATTACAACAAAAACATTTCTGTTCTTAAATAGTTTCTAAATTTTAGTATGATTTCCATTCTCTCTATAAACATTCCTAAACACTAAAGTCCTATCAAAATCGATGTATAAAGCTATTAATAATAAAATAATAATCTATGCTATTGGGGCATGTCATATTTATATTAAAATATCTACTGATAACCCGTATTATTTCCTGCAGGGTAACTCATCTAATTTATTGTGTATTTGTATAATAACTTCAACGACTAAACCTTCTTCTACGAATAAACTACTTTTCAACTCCTACTATTAAACTTGCTGCTCATTAGGTTTCACTTTAAATGTTCAACAGTGTTGACCTGCAACTGATATTGTGAAGCAAAAGTATAGTGAACCATGCATTTCATTCTGATATTATATCAACGAGTTGCCGAGTTGGGTGGTTTAACACCCTTTCTAACAACTCCAATTTAAAATGCCATACAATAACAAACAAATTAAATACTGTCAAAAATATCAATAATTTCAATTCATCTGGGACGTGACAATAGCCAAAAATGGTATTTTGTAAAACTCTGGAATGTCAATTTTCTCTGTAACGTTTCACAAAACTTAACAGTTGATTTATCATCAACTGACATCACCAAAATATCTCTAATGCTCTTAATAATTGGACTAACTGAACTGATGAATTTCTATTTTATTTAAATTCGACGTTAAAAAGAAACTTTCACTGCTAAACGCTGGCATTTGGACGCATTGTTTCTACTGAACACTTATATACTTGACGATAGAATTTGGACGATTAAGTACGTTTCCATAACTGTGCTAATACGTCTTACTGGCCATGCTAGTAGATGTGTCTCTGACTGTGCTACTAGGTGTCTTTGACAGCACTATAGTATGTGCCGACTGCACTAGTATGTGCCGACTGCACTAGTATGTGTTTCTGACTGTGCTAGAACCGGTCCATGTAACTCTAGATACTTGTGAATAGCTATGAAGTTGATACAAACGCCGAATAACGACTAGCTGTTCGAACTGACTGGTATAGGTAATTTAGTACGATGAAGACTTGAATGAACTAAGTTTTGAAAAAACCACTGCGTGCGTAACACGTTGCAAGAAATGAATTGCAAAATTAAACAACATTCTCATTGTTGGAGGATTTGGGAATTCTGCGTATTCGCATACTTTGGGTCTGGACGTGACTTAATTTAGCGAGATAAAATGTTTATTAATGACAGGAAATGAGATTTTCTAGTGAATAGTTTTCAGCCTTGACTTTAAAAATTGTTTATCGCGCCCTAATATGCCATTTTTAGGTCTTAATCAGTCTTTCTATATCCCTAAATTGACGAAATTTTGCCCATAACCCGAGACAAGATTCAATAAACTCGATGGGCAAATTTGAAATACTTTGATCTATTATACCACACGTTAGAAGATTAAATAAAACAAGTAAGCGACGTTCTTGATGGACATAAAGTTGGTCATTAGAACCAAATACATCTGATTCTGAAAACCCTCATTCGTGTGTTTAATACACAATTTAAAAACCTGACTTTTGCGAGGCTTGACGCGACGTTCCGAACCGTAAACTTCGTCATTTTTGGCCGTTTTGCGGAACAACAAACGTTGATTTGGCCTAAATCGTATATCGGAAAAAACGACATTCCTCACTGTGAGATCCGTTAGCTCGGGCCCATTTACGAGACCAAAAGCATTATTTTGGCCCAAATTGACCGCTTTGGCCATGGCAATCGAGTAGCGGAGGCCCCACGCCGCTCGGACGACAACGACTGGGCCGGAGACTCGGTCGAGGAGTGGGCCCTGGAGGACGCCGATGATATGGAGGTGGAGGAGGTGCCCGATAATGAGGGGTCCGCCACCAACTTCATGTAAGAAGACACGTTTACTATAGAAATATGTCTTAAAATCATCAAAATTACTTCTCATTGATGGGGCTAGGCTTAACTTTATGTAAGAACACCTTCTGATGATATTGAGGTGCCATGATTCAGGGTTAACCCACCAATTTCAAACACCAGCCTAAGATAGAACTACGTGTCTTAAATTCGCACAAGAACAGCAGCCAATGAAAGCCATATGTTTAAATTGCATATTCGAACAAATAATAAAGTATGCATTAACTTCGTGTAAGAACACCTGATTTGTGGAGGTTTTGAAGGTTTCCGCTCGATAACAAGTCTTGGAAGCAAAACCTAATCAGAATTTAGAGACGCCTCAGCTTCTGTTTACTCGAATCAGAAGCTGCCCCGCATTTGAATTTCGTTTTTTAAATGAGTCATAAGCCAACAGGGCGAGTGTAGGGTGTTTACATAGTTTACGTACCAGCCCGAAGTGATATATATCGTAGAATCTTCCTTGCCAATATAGGTATTATACAATCTGGATTTAACTTTAAAAAGGCTGTATTATTAGGTTGGATCACACTGAGGAGCAGAACTATGATAGATAGTTGTTGGGATTCGTGAACGGAAATTGAAACGGTGCTAAAAGTCATAATTGAAACGATAGCCTAAGCCCTGACGGTACAAAGTAGCAGGCGCAAAAGATATTTATTATGAATATATTTCAAGTCTTAGAACAGGTAATATCGATCGTTGATGCAGTCGGAAACAATCAAGCTTCCATGCAATCTTCCCCTCATCTATATTTAGAACACAACATAAATAATTCATTAATCATATTTGATTCCTTTTCTCCTTAAAGCTGCCCTAAATAAACCTTTATTGATGTTTACTAATTAACTTGCTATATCTTAGCTTATAAACATAACGTAGTATTTAAAATGGATGGTTGGCACCTTATAAACAAGTGCAGATTTAGACCGTTTGCGTTCAAGTAGATCACGTTTCAGTAATGCGTGAATGGACTTCACCAATAAAATTTATTTTACAGACACAAATATTTTTTTGTGTATATTTCTTTCTTAGTACATGAACGCAAATGGTCTGTAATTCCATGCATAGTCTATAGCTTTCGCATTATAGAAGCTAGATCAAGTCTGCACTATACTAAATGTGTCTAAATGCTATGTTTGTTGCTGTGTTGAATAATATAACATTCTTTTAAATAATAACTCGAAGATTGAGTGTGCTTCTATATCTATTTCACTTTTTCATTTATATGAGCTCCTTCATTAATTCAGCAACCTTCCATCTAAACACTTTTCAACTCTGAAAATAATTTTACCATTTTTCTCTGAACCATCGAGACGATGTCTTTTTCCAGCTCGACAAAGACTTAAATACAAGCTGACTGATGCGACTTTATAAAAACTAATATTTTGTGCAAGCCTCGACAGTGATCAAAGCTTGTGAAAATAGCATGTCATTTCAATAACAGTAATTCATGTAATATTAAGTTTTATGAAATGAAAGTAACGATGGATTGAATAGAATCAACAGGGCCACGTATTGTCATCGTTCATCAATGTGGGGATGCGGTAACATAAGTGTGTGTGTTCAAAAAACGGAGATTCAATTTACAAAAAAGTTACATGTAAAATAATAAGTTATATACATAATTTCATGTTATGAAACATAGCATGGCATTTAGACATCGAGTTCTGGGATTATGGATGGTATTTCTACCATAATATCATGACGGTGCTTCAGAAGGTATACTTTCTTCGCAGCCTCTCACTTTTATTCAAGCGTTATTCATGAAATGTGTGATGTGACTCATTTTGTTTACTAATTAATTATTTTGCACCATTTATATTTCCAACATCATCTCCGTAACTATCTGCACAGCATAACTGCAGCTCTTTACTACACTTTTAACAAATGCCGGAGATCTAATACAAACTATTAATTATAACATTTAGACTTCATTATGGTTTTCTTTGATCGCTGTTTTCTTCTATGTATTGCTTACTTTTACGCATGGGCGCTATAATCTGTCTGCATTCATAAGTTTTGTACACTTCATTCCCTATTATATTCAAGGGTTATTTTGTTAAGAATGTAAGCCAGCCTGTTTAATTTAAGTCAAATCATTGTGCGCATGATCTGCTCAGTAGAATATTCATAAGAAAACTTTTCGATACTCACTTGCGTGTATTGCAGTAGAGATATATCGTAGTTTGTACTGACTTGGTTGCACTGCAGAAGCAGCATGGTGGTTATTTTTATTCACTTAGCTGTATTTTAGCTGCTGCTGATGGAACACCGCACCTCAGAATATTAGTCAAGAGATCCCCTCTGCCCGAGTACGACAATGGTCTTCTTCATGATCCTCATGGTCTTGCTCATGATCCACATGGTCTTACCCACGATCCTCATGGTCTTACCCACGATCTTCATGATATTCCTCATGGCCCCCAGCCAAAGGACTTCCACTATCACAAGCCCGGCAAGGTGGGGCCGGTCTTCACCTTCGTCAAAACAGACTACCACGGTAACGTCAAGTGGGGAGTTAGGCATAGGGTAGGGGAACATTATGGTCGTTAGTTTCAGTTAGTCGTAACCACAAGTCCACTACCATAGTAACGCCAGGTGGGGAGTTAGGCATAGAGTAGGGGAACATTATGGTCGTTAGTTTCGGTTAGCGTAACCACAAGTCCACTACCATAGTAACGCCAAGTGGGGAGTCAGGCATAGAGTAGGAGAACAATTTGGTCGATAGTTTCGGTTGGTCATCAACACAACTCCCGCACCACCAATCCATTGTTATGGGGGTGGTAGGGTAGTGTTGGGTGAGGCAAACAAAACTTGTTCCTATCATAACCCAACTGTGAAACAAACAAGCATTGTAAAAGAAGTATGAATATTGATGTGGATTTCTACAACATTAGTCCAAAAACGTAATAGTACAATGTAATCAAATTTATATTTGTCTTCAGTTTCAGATCAGTTTTCGCAACGACTACCATCTTAAATTACGATTTCAATAGAGAAATTGTAATTTCCATTAATCCCAATCTGACATTAAACTGATAGTTCATTCTTTTAAGGTATTTTGAAGGGTTTAGTTTCCTATTTAAATTATTTAATAGTCGATTATATATTTATGTTTCTCCAATAATGACTGCCATATTATGGAATCAAAACTTTTCCGCCTTTAGTCAATATTAATTTATTTAATCTATATAATTTATTGTATTAGGAATGTTTTAATAAGTCATTCCATATACCTTATTCATCAAATGATAAACTGCTAACTTTGATAGTTGTCACCAGTATATATTAAAAACTCTTCTACTTCAAGGTGCTTGATAGGGGATATTATGTAATACAATATATAGCATTATTGCAGTATATGATATGTTCAAATGATAGACTTATGTATTATTCACAATTACATTTCACCTACTTCATCGCCCTATCAGAGGTAAGAGCAAAGTAGGTGCAAGGTAACAATGTTATTAGTAACTTTCCGCACTTGTTCCCACCACGCCGTCGATAAAACTTGCACTGTATTTCGCGCAATAGATCGCCCTCAATTGCAATATTGTTTTGAGCCTTTTTTGTTTTTTAACTAAAATTGGATTCAACATTAACCCTTTAAAACTCAATTTACTGATAAGTGCAAAATACCGTATTGCGTCCATACTACCTGCTAAAATTTATTGATTGCAAAAAATTTTAAAGGATACATTTATGTCCACCTAGTCACGGCGCAGCCTGAAATTAAAGAAAAAATTAACTTATCTAACGAGATTAATACATCGAATAAAAACGCCTTTTTGAAAGGCGACATAAATGTCCTGTTGGGCGCTAAAGGGTTAACAAGGTCCAACTGAAAGTTGCTGCTTCATTCATGAAGACTTATTTTGCACAAAAACTTGAAGGTGTATTTAGTATTTCAACTTAAGCTATTACGATTATTTTCTTTTCTTAAATAAGGACTTCAGTTCTTTCCAGTATTAGCAGACTTCAAATTGCAATCTTGTTACTCTGTAGTGTTAGTTGAATCTTAATAAATCTTTAATGGTATTCCTGGTTTTCGGTCTGTCCTTTATTGCATTTTGAAATGAACCGAGGAAAAAGCTAGATTAAAAAGAAGTATAAAAAAGACTCAGTGAACTGGAGCTTCAAATCCATACAAGTGACCACTCAAAGAAATGGGTGTGATTTTGTCTAAAGAACGGTTAAATAAGATCATCAACGCTAATTGCAGAAAAGGGAAAATATGTAACCTATTAATTTTCCAGAGAGAAGACGGATGCTCAAAGATTGGCAAGGCTATTCAAACGCAATGAAAATACGTCCAATATACTCACGTTTATCTTAAATAATCAATTTTTCGTTAAGGTTGAGCCCCTTGTACGTAACTTCTTACGTGATTCGATACCGAAACTTCAAGACGCGATTACGATCGAGCTCATGTCTCGCGGTTAGGCTCGCTGTATTATATACCAGGATAAACGTATTATTAATAATATTAAAACGATATGTTTAATTGTTGGCATTAATTATGCTTAATAAAAATTCACGAAAACTATAATTCTAACATATATAACGAATAAGACAAAGTCGAAGGTAACTCGCACCAATGCTGAGGCGCCCTCCGTGCAGCGCAGGCACCCGCGGACAAAGGAACTCATCCGCCATCGCGATTCAAAAAAGTATTTTATTTGTAATTGTGCAGGAAAAACTATACTGCACGTTTCTGTTAAGTATCTCGATGAAAAAATATTGCTCCACATTAAGTTCAGAAAATTTTAAATTAATTCTAAAATTCTAAAAAATCTAAATTCACGCAAATATATGCAATTTCCTTAATAGAAATAACGAGCTGTTTCTCAAGTATTTAAGTAAGATTTTTTATTCGCGAATTTAAAAAATTGACAATGGAAGACATGACGCTATGCTGACAGTAATCGTAACACTCATAAAAATTCTGACAATATACGACAGCTCCTACTACTTGCAACGACCTGAGGTACGTACGTTGACTAAACACATGACTCAACTGAATTTATACTACCATTCTACCAGCTCCCATTCTTCCTCATGTTTCATTCTTCTATTGATCACCTTTATATTTTATTTCTTTTCATTATTTATTATTATCCAGGATAAATAAATTTATTATTGCCTTCTCCTCTTCCGTCCTCCATAATTAACATAGCCCCTTCTCGGCTCAAGCCCGTCTCATATAAATCCCCTCAAATTTATTTCCTTCATCATTAATTATATTTATCCCCAATTAATCCTTTTTCCCATAAGCATCCTCTCTTTTCTCTTTAATTAACCCCTTCAGTTTCCGGCTTATAATTTCATCCCATATTATTTCTTTAATTATATACATATTTCATCTTTTTCTTTCATTGTATACTTCCCTCTTAATATTTTTTATTCCTCTACCTCCCTTTCCCCCCTCAATAAACCCCATGCCTTCAATTAATCCCCCCAGTTCCCGTTTCATAATCCCTTCAACTTTATATATTTTCCTATTAATTAAATAATCCCCTATTACCCCCTTTTTCCACAACCACCCACCCCCCCTCATTTTCCCTCCCTAACCCACCCCTCTTCAGTTCCCGTCTCGCGCGACGGCTATTCGGAGGTGGAGGTGCTGGGCGTAGACGCCGGAGACCTGCCCGCTCTCAGGTATAGTTGTATATTACTGAACTAAAGTGGTCATTAAATATAACATTAGTCGTTTTGAACACTAACTGCATCACAACAATGAACAACACCAAATAGATTCATTTTGAACAATGCATCACATTCATTTGAACAATGATGCAATGATTTATTGTTCATTCAACAGTGCATCAATCATTTTGAACTATGCATCACAACAACACGAACACCAAATAGATTCAGTGATGCATTCACCGCAAATAAAAGATCTTACGTAGCTGAAATTAGATGAGTGCGCATGGGATATAGTGTGATTTATTTGTTAACTTTCATTCTGCGTAATGAATTGAATATCATGTCGCGTGCACCATATGTATTTAATTTCACTCATATTAATAACTTTCAAAAGTTTTTGAATGATTTTTATATTCTTAATTTCAGAATATATACATCTTATCCATTTGTTTAAGCGTAAATCTTATCCATATAAATTATCCATTTGGTTAAGGTTAAATATTCCCCATTCAAATGGGTAAGGTTGAAAATCTCACCCATTCAAATGGGTTAGGTTGAATCTTACATCTTATTTCCCTCTTCAGCTCGCAAGATTCACTAGCCCGCGCCAAGCGAGGGCACCACCACCTGCCCATCTGGGTCAACACTTTCCAAATGACCGACCACCACGCCAACTTCAAGTGGGGCGTCCGCCACAACGTGGGCCACTAGGCCACCGCCACAACCGGCCTCCGCACCACAACAGAAGGCCCCGCCCACTCCTGGGATTGGCTAGTGGAGGAGCCAATAGGAGGCCTCGATACAGACACGTGAACCCTCACATGGATCAGTACGCAGATGCAGGGGACTTAGATGACGTTAATTACGATGATGATTATTACGAGGAACAAAATGTGATACCCAGGAGACCCCGAGGGGGTAAATCTCCCCTGGTCATCCAGGTTGTGGATGACCGTATCAGCAAGAAATAATTTCAGGTGTTGGGGATAAAACTGACTTTTTTCATCCATATTTCATGGATGAAATAGCCTTACCCACCCAGGGGTCGTACAAGTCGTGGTCGGTCACAGACCATGAACATCCAGAGAAATGAGTGAGACGTTGTCCAAATAGCTATGCACTTCTTGCGCTTGTGTGGGTCATCCTGACTCATTTTGCTCAGCAAAAAGGCGTGTCAGTGCCGCTCTTTGCTCGTGATGAGGGTAAGAGAGTGTGTCGATATTTGGGGCCATACTTTCAAAACTCGCTAAGTGAACGTAAGTATTTACGCTCTATTTTCTTGTCTATGATTAAGTGAACGTAAGTACTTACGCTCTATTTTCTTGTCTATGATTAAGTGAACGTAAGTACTTACGCACTATTTTCTTGCCTATGATTAAGTGAACGTAAGTACTTACGTTCTATTTTCTTGTCTATGATTGGTGGATTTTGCTTGAAAGGCCGTCAATGATTGGCTGATGAACTTACGGTCTCTTAACTTTTTTGAAAGTATGGGCCCAGGACAATATGAACCACTCATTGTTCTGAGTGTTTGTTAAACTATGCTCGTATAACATCATCGTCATTTCCTACACAAATTTATGTCTGTGTACGAGTATGTGTGTGTGTTGTGTGTATTACTAATGTTATTGTATCGCTTCTATTTCCCGCTATTTTCGGCGTGTCCATGCCACTTTGTCTATGTTTTTTGTTATTAATGATAAATAAAATTTCCGTTTTATATTCTATGCTGAATTGATTTTGTTATCACATCTGTTGGAGATAACAACTTCCGTTGTCTGATCGCTCGCTTGTTCTCCTTTCCTTGTGATTTTTTTTCCTTTTCTTCATCTTCGCATTTAAAGTTTTTTTCTGCAGACTAAGTCACTTTCTTCCTGTTATTTTTCTGAATTGTTTGTTTTGTTGTTTTTGTTATTATTCCTTTAAAAATACACGAATATCCAAACAATTATTTGTATTATTCCCCTTACACAATTAATGATAAACCATTCTTTATATAATTTGACTTTAAAATATTAATTTTAACCTCATTTATACTAAATTCTACAAAATGGTCATTTTATTCTTATTTTATGTTAAATTTTTCAAGCAAGCCAAAATTTTTAGTAAATTTGCTTATTCCATATTAATACCTTCGGTATTAAATGAATGGAGCATACACCATCGAAATAAAAATCACTGCGATTATACACATAAATTTTTATATTCAACGGAAATATTGCACTATACGATTGTACTCTACAGATAAAAATTAATTTTTTGTATACTGAATGCAATAAAAATATATGAATGGTGGAAAAATTAGCAATACCGAGAAATTAGTTCGGAATTTTATGAATTGGGTGCTATGTTTGCTGTTGCGTTGCCACGGCAACCGCGGCACGTAGCGCGTCGCGCGTGAAGACATCAAACTTGAAGTCAATTATCGAACAGAATCCTTAACAAGTGGCGAGTTTGGCCTGATTCATGAGTCGCCCATGTTGTAGAACACTTAAATGGAGTAATTCAGGACGTAAATAAGCATAATTCAGGAGAGAATGAAGTATTTAGCTTATTTCTGAAACATTAGATATGGTATAATTTTGACCAAGTGTTTTCCATTCAACGCCAACATTTCCTTAACGATCAATGCTTGAAAAATGTTATTATCTTCTATCTGATTAATTAAATCACCTTAAATTAAATTAAATTACCCTAAATTAAATCAAATTACCTTAAATTAAACTATTTATTTAAATTACCCGAACACATATAAAAGTTCAGAGTAAATTATAAAGAAATGACAGCAAGTTTGTAGTGTAAGTGACATAGACGCCATGTTGGCCGCGCATCGAGCAGCTCAAGCATTTCATTCTCTCTGGATTGCCGTCATATTTTCAAGAACCATTCATTGTTTTCCTTCATAAAACTCATACATATATTTCAGTGTACTAATTATATACGTTTAAGTGGTCTCTAAATAAATAAGCAATGGTAAGTGGCGTATTTTATTCATTATAAATAGATTTGTTGACAAGAACATTATTAAGGCAAACATTTTCTCTACAATAAATTATTGATTCCCGATTCTCCCTCTATAAAATGGAGGTGGTTGATAAACGAACTAAATAATAATTTTTTCTCATTTTCATTTGAAGACATTAATTATAAAAGTTTCAATCGAGTGATCATTTATTTTTCAAAATTAATTAAACAGTTGAGGGTAAACATTTCGGTAGGCTGTTCCAAATGTGAATAAATAATGTTACATAAGTTAATGCTAAATTCCTTAATACTTTTATAACTGAATAAAATCGAGGTTAAATTCAATTTAAAAATAAGATGATCGTAGCAGGTCCGTGATCGATCATCAAAATGTAATTAAACATTAAATTTATGATAAATAAATATGTAATTAAATATATATATAATCATATATATAACCTCCCGCATGGTCTGCCTCATGACCTGCACGGTCTGCCTCATGACCTGCACGGTCTGCCTCATGACCTGCACGGTCTGCCTCATGACCTGCATGGTCTGCCTCATGACCTGCACGGTCTGCCTCATGACCTGCATGGTCTGCCTCATGACCTGCACGGTCTGCCTCATGACCTGCACGGTCTGCCTCATGGTCTTATTATTTCAGACCGACAGTCAGTTTCGTTGCCCCAATTATCAGCTGTGAACAGACCTCAAACAGCAGCCCCCATGAGAAATCTAAAGGGGTCTAAAACTAGATTATTTTAGACCCTCTCTTAGGTGCTAAATAGCCCCCTAAGGTCTGCCTGGTCTGCAGGGTCTGCCTCTTGGTCTTATATCAGACCGACTGTCAGTTTCGTAGCCCCAAATCTCAGCTATAAACAGACCCTAAACAGACCCCTATGAGAAATCAAAGGGGGGTCTAAAATATTATTTTAGACCCCCTTATCTTGGTCTTATTTTAGACCGACTATGAATTTTGTGGCCCCAAAATGTCAGCTATGAACAGACCCCTATCATAAATCTAAGGGGGTCTATAATTATATTATAGACCCACCGTTAAGGGACTAACTAGCCCCCTAATGTCTGGCCTGGTCTGCAGGGTCTGCCTCTTGGTCTTATTTCTGACCGACTATGAATTTCGTAGCCCCAAATCTCAGCTGTGAACACACCTCAAACAGACCCATATCAGAAATTATATTATTATAGGGGTCTAAAATTATGTTATTATAGACCCCCATTAAGATGCTAAATAGCCCCCTAAGGTCTGCCCTGGTCTGCAGGGTCTGCCTAATGGTCTCATTCCAGACCGACAGTCAATTTCGTAGCCCAAAATGTAAACTAAAAACAGACCTCAAACAGACCCCTATCAAAAATCTGAAGGGGTCTAAAATTATATTATTATAGACCCCCTTTAAGGCGCCAACTAGCCCCCTAAGGTCTGCCTGGTCTGCAGGGTCTGCTGTCTCTGCTGCGTAAGCTGAAGCAGGCGCCAGACCGCGAGCTGCGGCTGCTGCTGCTCGGTCTAGACAACGCAGGCAAGACCACACTACTGAAGACCCTTGCTGCTGAAGACCCCACCCACATCACCCCTACGCAGGTGAGTCATCATGACCCACATCACCCCTACGCAGGTGAGTCATCATGACCCACATCACCCCTACGCAGGTGAGTCATCATGACCCACATCACCCCTACGCAGGTGAGTCATCATGACCCACATCACCCCTACGCAGGTGAGTCATCATGACCCACATC